ATTAATTTGACCTATATGTAGAAAATGTAACAAAAATTTGGATAAAATGTAGCATTTTATGCACATTAAGATTCAATCTGAGCAATTCAAATTCACTTCCTGCTGGCACAAGATTTATCCCGTACAACTTGCGCTGAGCTCTTTCAATATTTGTTTTTAATATTTAAAACCGTTAAAAATTAGTTCCCATCACAGCCAGCCTGGGACTTCTTTGCTCTCTTAAAGTACCTGTGACGTGTTTATCCTTCAAACACAAAAAGTCAAAGAAAACATCTTTATACTTAAGAAACTTGGCTTAATATACGTGATTTTACCCATTTTGTCACATAAGTGGCCTATTCTCCTTTGGATTTGGCTCAGCCAAAGTGAAATAGGAAGTGACGTCAAAGGGGAACTCACAACTCTCTGGTCTTTGTTATTAAAACAATATCATTTAAGGTATAACTCTTCATTATTTATGTTTTATAGTGACTCAAAATAATCTAAAGAAACATCAGATTCTTCTCTGGTCGCTGTAACAACACTGTTTACGTGCAGACATTCCCCTTTGACATCACTTCCTGTTTCTTCACGTGCAAATATCTCAACAACCGTTCATCTCAGCAGCGTGAAATTTGTTTTATATGTTATCGATGTTATCTTTCCAAAAATGCATTCATGTTTGTTATAAAAAATTAATGTCACAGGTCCTTTAAGTCCTCAGATACTGCCCAGTCTTCTAGTTTTATTTTTGCTTAGTCAGTAAAACGTTTCAATCCTCCAGGCAGTCTGATCTTTACAAACTAAACAGTCTTTTCCCTCAGATTTATCCTTCACTGCGGAGAACGTTTGCTTTGTTTCAGACCCAGAATCTCTTCATCTCGTGCCGTGAGATCATGTGAGGTGTGTCACACGGCAGTCCCATAACTAACTCGTCTTTTCTCTTCTGCTTTTTCATCCAGATGTAAAGTTTGAGATCGATCAGCCGAAGAATCTGGTCTGGATCGAGTCCGACAAGGACGCGGAGGTTCTCATGGAGATGCTGAAGAAAGCCGGGAAGCAGGTGAAATACAACGGCACCAAGTGAAGGAATCTGCTCCGTGTTGAACAGGTGATGATAATCTGCTGCTGTAAYTAGGGATGCACCGATATCAGATTTTTGAAAACCGAGTACGAGTACTTACATTAAAGTACTTGCTGATACCAAGTACCGATACAAGTACTAATAAATGTCCTTAAAAATCCTTATAATTAACTTAAACTGTTTATTTTCATTAGGCACTTCAAACATAAATAAACAAAGTGCATTACTATTGGTTTAAAACCATTTTACTGTCATATAACCATACTATGAC